TTTAAGTCCTCATTGCCTTCATAAAGTAATTTCTCCTCTCCTCAGTAATTGTGAATGGTTTTTCTAATTGCTCTGGTAATGCCTCTACCAGTGCTTGAATGATTGGAAGGAGAACCTTATCAGATTCAATAGATTTCGGAATTTGAATTGAAGTTAGAACGGCTTTGTCATTCTTATCATCCACTTGTTGAATCATGGTTGCAATTACTGTAGAATATCCTCTCACCCTAACAAAAACAATTGTTTCCATATCAATATCACCCCCCTCAATATCCAAGAAAAAGCAATCAGGAAAACAGTTATTCATCTCGAAATAGTAAACATCATCATTGGCCACATACTTGTTGGTCTCACCAGAACTGAGCCACTTTCCCCAAGTTGACAACAATTGCTCATCTCGTTTTTCATACTTTGAAAGAGCTCTCGATACTTTCTTTTCTGCTATTGAGGATTTTTTATCCTCAGTTGATGTATTTGATGTATTTACAGGATCTTGTTCTTGTTTTGTTTGAATATGATGAGAGGATTTTTCTGCTGATAGTGATGATGACGAAGCTTGTTTTACCTCCTCCTTCTTTGCCTCGGTATGTTGCTTTTGATCGTTCTTTGAAACACTCGATCTCAGCACCTTCTTTGGTTTTTCAGTGGAAATCCTTTGAGGTTCTTCAACATTCTTCAATTGCTTTTGTGTTGAACAGGCTGAACCCATCTTTTCTAATATCTACGAATAACTTTGCAAAATACAACAGTGAACCTTTTTTTTTAAGCAGAGTGAGAGATGATGGCTAGTGAGTGTATTGAGGCAATTTTTTTAAAGTTCCTTCCGAGAAGTTGAACACTCTTTTGGTACTTCTGAACTCATTAAGAGAAATTTTTGACTGTACGTGTTCTTAAATTCCTTTTTGTTAAAGTAGTGTTGATGACGTATTGCTGGTGATGCTATTAAATATAATGGAGATGACAATTTTCTGAGTATAGTACTCAATTATGCCATCAGAAAGAGATTAATTATACATCACCTATAAGGCTCTCCCGCCAAAATTAGATGAACTTAAAGTACAAATATTTGAGCAGAGATAAAAACAACCAAACTGAAAAAAATGTCTTCAAAACAAATCGATAAATACCCAAGGTTCTTGAAAACAACTCATCCACCTCCAAACTCATCGGGATTGATGGAATCAAATCCTGAGAAGCCATTATCCAAGCTAAAGATTGAATATATTCATGGATGCTCAAAGAAGGGTTGTTATGGAAACGTGTTTCATGTTGATGATGAACAGCATTTAGTCTATCCTGCTGCTGGTTGTGGGGTAGTGCTTAATGTTGAGGATAACACTCAAAAGGTATTCTGCAAGCATGATGATGATGTTGTTGCTTTGGCTAAACAGTATGTTGTTGATATCAAATTGTTATATTATTGACACCCTATTATTAACAACAGTCCAAATGGTAGATACTTTGCTTCGGGGCAAATGGGAAAGGATGATATGATTTACATTTGGGACAGTCACCAACCTGAGGCAGGTCCAATTAAGGCACTCAAAACAAACACCCAATTCAAAAATGGAGGTGTGTTAACTTGTTGCTTTTCAACCGAAGGATCCTTACTAGCCTGTGTTGGTGGTAGTCCTAAAATGAACATTATTTTAATTTATGATTGGAATAAGGGAACATGTCTTGCCAATGTGAAAGGAACTAATGAGGAAGTATATGCTTTATGTTTTTCAAAGAGATGACAATAATTTGACTTGTGTG